CCCCAAAACCCCAAAACCCCAAAACCCCAAAACCCCACTTTGCTGATTAAAAATGAAATTAATCATAAACGGAATGGAAATTTAAAATAATACTTAAACTTCTTGAGCATGAACAATTCAATTTATATAAAAGTGTTCAATACGAACCTTTAGATAATAATGCTCAATTCCTTTTAATTCTCAATTAGTAATAGTAGTTATGGTAAATAGAGCAAGTGACACTAATGAATATTTAAGAATATTTCCTGATCCAACATTTACTGTGACATTGGTGTTCTGCGATACCTGCACTTCAATTCTTTATTGGAAAAACATTTGAACTTGATAAGCAGCATAAGGGTCTGTGTTTGTTGATCCTGAGTTAGTAGTTGTTCCGCTACCAGACGATGTCCTGCCAACGATTGAAGTAACAAAAGTAGTGTTTCTTCTGCTTGTTGTCTCAGCATTATAAACTGCATAGAAAAAGGCTTGTTTAGGTGCTATTGTTATTTACCTGGTAATTGAGCAGTCAGTTGCAGAATTAATTGAAGTACCGATGCCTGGAGATGCAACAGCTGCACTAATCCAAGAAACTTATAAGCCCTAACATTTAATACTAAATGAAAGGTTTCCAGAGCTCAAACTATTAGCTATCCTGACGAACGTTCCATTTTGTGGAGCCAAACTAAAAAAGAATTCTGATTGATCGCCTGTTTTTGACTACGGATTGTATAATTCATCATAGGAATATATTTGTCGGTTTGATTTAAACGAATACATTGTAACACATTCAGTAGGGTTGGAAGCGTAAATCAAATTAGTTTGAGATATTTTTTGCCAGCATCCATTTGAATCGAAATAATAGCTATTTGCAATGCATCCGATACAGTCTTTGTAAAGTGAAGGAGCTAATGCGAGCATTCTTTAAAACTAATTTTCAGATAAAAACGTATGCTCCTCATCATCGTCGAATCCAGAAACTGGAAATTCCTGTGCAAGCAATTATTCTTGATCAATTCTAGCAAATGCAGTCAAAATATTGACTGTAGTCATACTCAGCAATAGAGTGTATAGAAACTTCATATTTAAAATTTGGTTTTAATGCAAAAGAAGGTTTTTGATAATTTTGTAATGTATTTCTATAAATTTTAATATATTGAAAACTATTAAATACTTCAAAGTATTTTTTAGTCTTGGGGTTTTGGGGTTTTGGGGTTTTGGGG